TTTTTAAATAGATATTGTAATAGATATTATAATGACCGAGCATTCTTACCTATGTGTAATATTTACATCGAAATTTATTGTCGTTGTATTGCTTATTTACAATTAAAAAAGTCGTAATATCTTATATCGTCTTATTTACAATAAATAGTACTAGTGCTTCTTGACCTTCGCCTTTTGGCCAGTCTCTTGAGACTTGCCTTTGCCGCCACAACATTTCCTCCAGAAGAACTTGAGCACAACTGTGCTTATCAAGGCGATAACAATAACAATCGCTGTAAGTAATAGATAGACGTCCAGATTGTGGCTCGCAATAAAGTTCATATGGACGAGGGGACTCTGCATGTGCCCGGCGCCATGATGACGGAGCACATAGTTCACCCAGTAGATCACCGAATCGCGGGCCGATATGGGACGATCGCGATAGAGCTTGGAAAACTGTTGAACCTTGGTGGTGTAGCTGGGATTCTTGACTATCTCCTTGATGGCACCCTTAAACTCATCCACCTCCAGGGTGAACAAGTCGATGCGTAGGCCGTAGCCCGCCTGAACCAGCTTATCTGCATTTCCAGGCTGATCGGCAAACACAGGCAGCGCCAGCATGGGCTTGCCATGGTACTGAGACTCGGCCACGCCTCCTTTGCCAGCGTGCGTTATAAATAGCTTAATATTGGGATGGGCGAGTATGTCGTCCTGTGGCAGCCACTTCTTATAGAGAATATTTGCCGATTTTCCGGGCAAGTTCTTAAGATCATCCCACTTCCAGATCACATTTTGCTTGAGGCTAGAGAGCGCTTCGAATATCTTGCCAATGAGTTCTGGTTGAATGTGATCGCCCTTGAGATTGCTGCCCAGGCTGAAGAGAATCGCGCCATGCTTGGCATTGTCCAAAAACTCCTTTATGTCCTGTGGCAAGGGATCGGGCTTATCCTTAATCTGTATGCCACCAATCTCAATAACTGCAGGCACGTTGGGCCTGATAGGTCCTTCACTGATGGCATGACTATTGCAGAATGCCAGAGACACGTTCTTCTTGGCCTCCTCATAGCTTATCATGGCCGGATCCTTACCCCAAAGGCGACTGTAAGTAAAGTAGAAACTGATTAATAACAATATATAAAAACAACAAGCAGGAATAACGTGCTTTTCCACCCGCCGAAAATTTAACTATACCCCTACTATCTTGAGCTTCACGTTATTTCAACATATATATATTTTAAAAATCTTTGAAAATGAGTTTGATGACGAATGAAGGATAAGCAAAAAGGTTTCATTAATCGTTTCCACGGTTGAGGGTAAAATTTGCCAAAAGCCCCGAGATAAGTGCTTGGCGCATTCGGTAAATACAGTATAAGGTTCTTAATCAATCAGTCAGTCAATCAATCAGTCTATCAATCAGTCAATATACATAGATAAGAAACTGCTACTTACTCGTAAAACTGCACATTTAACACCTCCAGGTAGAAACCTAAAAGGCGCAAGAACATGGAGCTGCCAAAATTAGCCAGACGCTTCTTAAAGTCCATGACCTGGCCCGGCAGAACGGCTACATTCATGCTGGGCACCGTGGCGACCAGTTCGGGATTGCCAACAGCATCATTAATTTGCACCATGGGCGCTCCGGTCCAGCTCAAAATCAACGGGCAATTAAATTTGGCACCGAGGCCCACCTGATAGAAGTTGAAGAAGAAACCCACGACAACTGCATCAAATTTGTTGTCTTTGTTCTTGTAGAGATCGGTGAAGCGTTTGTCCTCCAGCACGTCCACTTGCTTATAAATAAGCATCGAGAGCGAACCAAATAAGCTTTTCATCGTCGTAACCATCGAGGGCTTCTCCTTGGCCATTGCGGTCATGCCATCGCTTATGACCTTCTCCTCGGCTGCGGTCAGAGGTATCAAAATATGTTTGATGCTCTTGTGGGTGACCTTTGGCTGTGCGGTTGACACCACTGTCACATTGTGGCCCTCCTCCGCCAGCGCCTTCATAATGGACATGTGGATTATCAGATGCGATGGACTGTGGCTGGTGAACACGCCCAATATATTAGAGCCCTCCACAGCCGGCGATTGGAGTACAAAGAATCCGAGCAACAGGCACGCAAATGTGCCGGTCAGAATAGATCTACCCTGGTGCGCCATGTCAACGTCTCCTTGGTAATGTTTATGTGGAACTAAGTGTACTGGTTGGAGTACGTTTATTTATATAAACTAAAAGCTTCGCCTCAGACCGGCCGTCTGATAAGCATTGATGCCTCCTGATAAGGGGTCTTAAATCGCCAAACACGTTATCGTTTTCGGTGCGTTCTGTAAATGTGAGAAGGCTTTAGCCGATGCTGTCCGACTGGCATATACCCTGTACTAGCTATATTTGCCGAAACGATCCACCGATAGTTACCGAAAAATAAATCATAATACAAGCACAATCGCAGGAATCTGATCACTATAGGCAACCCAATGTAAAACTGATTCTTAAAAAGTTCCTTCCAGCTCAAAATAAAACATATTTAAATGAAAAAAAATAATATTCAGGTGTTTACTGGGTTAAAAAGTGGCATCAGGTTCAGTTATATAAAAATATCTTTTCTCTGGGAGGTTCGCGGAAATCTTATTTTGAATTTCTGGCTATTTTATTCTTACAGATATGCTTTAAAATCTGAACAGCAAATAAATAATTATCGATCCCGATAACCGAGATGAGTTATCAATAAATTTTAACTTAAATTTTAACTTAACATGCATATGTTGCCTTTTTAAGTCTCTGTGATTGGACAGTCAGACGCCAAATCGCATCAATTATATATATTCTTTATCGGCAAAAGTAGCCTTGTCGAATGGCCATATACTTTATGTATTTCCATGTCCATTTCAAACATTTGCAATCACTGCATTATACCCTATTATTTACCCGTTAATGGGTATAGGGTATTAAAATTTGTTGTTAGCAACCTCTCGAATTTCGAAACAAACAGCTAAATGCTATCACAAAAACATAAGGAACACGTAATATGAACAGAAATCCAGTTGGGAACTTATGAAATTGGCGGCACTTTAACTAAATAAGTATACTGTAGGGTAAATGGAGCATAGGGTTAACTTATCGACAGCTAGCAATGTCAACGGGGTGAATTAAATTAATGAACTTTTGATATAGCGCACGAACCGCCAATAACATACTAATACATTAGACACAGTTCTAAAGCAATTAAATATCTCGTATATAATTTTCATTTTTCTCATTTGTACGCATAACGCGCGGCACTATGTATATATATATAAACATGTATATATGTATATATATATGGTAAGAACAACAACAATCGCATTCGCAAACTATAAAAACCAACCAAAATCAAGCACATTCGCGTTCGGCTTGCGCGTTTCGATGGCAACGGAGACACTGAGGACCGGGTCTGGCCGAGAATCGTTTGGACAGATGCGAGTCAATTAATGGCAAAACAAAAAATGCACTGAGAGAAATAATTGGTTGCTGAGAAATAGAGAGGAAGAGAGAGCAACTTTAAGCAAATAAAATAGAGCTCGTTATATTGCTATTTCCACAAATAGCAAACAAAACTTGACATTTGTTTTACTCACTGCAAATAATCACCCTTACGTGATTTTTTTCTCGAAATTATAGTAAAACTTAAGGTAGCACAAAACGCAAGTCATATTCATAACAATCAAAGTGCACTGAGAGAAAACTGACAAAACATTGATCTCATATAAATAAACTAGCAATTAATTGATAATTAAGGCACTCGCCATCTCAGGGGATTTTATAGCTACGGTGGTCATAGGGAAATACATTGGTTTTTTATGAAATCGGAGCTCAGTTTTCCCAAAAACTTAGTTACTTAGACAGCTCATTCATTGATTGAGTCATTTGGTATTTCATAATTGTACAATACAGATTCAATATGCATATAATACTTATGCATATGCATAATATACTTATACGTTTTACTCAAAAATAAATGTGTGTAGCTTAAAATTCAAAAGTCTGCGAAATTTTGCAGCAAAGACATGCACTATGCGATCGCAACACACAAGCTTAGCACGTGCAGCAACCCGATATTGTGCCCATTTATTATAATATTAAGATTATATTAAGTCTTATACAGAAGTCTTAGATTAGTTTAGAATAACATGTTTTTACTTTTTAATAGATGTTATGAAATTTCCTTATGACAGAGCATTCTTACTTATTGCGTATGCTACTCACATCGGAATTAATTGTCGATTTTTCTAGTTTAGTTACACTTATTAAAATAAATCAAATCTTATTGTCCTATTTACAATAAATAATATTAGTGCCTCTTGATCTTTGGCTTAACGGCCATCTTTTGAGACTTACCTTTGCCGCCACAACACTTTCTCCAGAAGAACTTGAGCACAATTGTGCTTATCAAGGCGATAACAATAACAATCGCTGTAAGCAGTAGATAGACGTCCAGATTGTGGCTCGCAATAAAGTTCATATGGACGAGGGGACTCTGCATGTGCCCGGCGCCACGATAACGGAGCACATAGTTTACCCAGTAGATTACCGAATCGCGGGCCGACATGGGACGATCGCGATAGAGCTTAGAAAACTGTTGCACTTTGGTGGTGTAGCTGGGATTCTTGAGTATCTCCTTGATGGCATCCTGAAACTCATCCACCTCCAGGGTTAACAATTCAATCCGTAGGCCATATCCGGCCTGAACCAGCTTATCTGCATTTCCAGGCTGATCGGCAAACACAGGCAGCGCCAGCATGGGCTTGCCATGGTACTGAGACTCGGCGACGCCTCCTTTGCCAGCGTGCGTTATAAATAGCTTAATATTGGGATGGGCGAGTATGTCGTCCTGTGGCAGCCACTTCTTATAGAGAATATTTGCCGATTTTCCGGGCAAGTTCTTAAGATCATCCCACTTCCAGATCACATTTTGCTTGAGGCTAGAGAGCGCTTCGAATATCTTGCCAATGAGTTCTGGTTGAATGTGATCGCCCTTGAGATTGCTGCCCAGGCTGAAGAGAATCGCGCCATGCTTGGCATTGTCCAAAAACTCCTTTATGTCCTGTGGCAAGGGATCGGGCTTATCCTTAATCTGTATGCCACCAATCTCAATAACTGCAGGCACGTTAGGCCTGATAGGTCCTTCACTGATGGCATGACTATTGCAGAATGCCAGAGACACGTTCTTCTTGGCCTCCTCATAGCTTATCATGGCCGGATCATTGCCCCAAAGGCGACTGTAAAGTTAAAACTCATCAATAACAATTTATAGAAGAAATAGCAGGAATGAGACGGCTTTAGGCCATGTTATTTTTCTTAAAATTCATTCTTAACAATTTTATCAGAGTATTGTCCCTTTATTCCCAAAGTAGACTGGTGAATTTTCAGTGAAAAACGTTTCAAAGGACATACTACAAAAATCATGGAATAATAGCAGATCTATTTTCTGATCTTAGGAGTAGACTATCTATAATATACATAAATATTTTTTTATGTATTGTAAGTTTGCAGCTGAACGAAAATTTAATACGCGCCCATAAATCTAGAATTCTCATTTTCCTCCCAGGCTGTGGATCGAAAAACCAATGCATATTTACAGAGATCTTTAAGGGACCTTTTCAGACCATGAATTAAAAAATCCAATAATCCACCTCTCCCGCATTTTTTTTTCTAGCCCCCCTCTTAGTGTTCAAATACTATGAAAGAAAAGAACATTTTATTGGTATCTTGATCTCCAATCAGTCAATCAGTCAGTCAATCAATAAGTCTTTATAAATAAGTAGATAAGGAACTGTTACTTACTCGTAGAATTGTGCATTTAACATCTCCAGATAGAAACTCAAGAGCCGGAAGACCATGGAGCTACCAAAATTGGCCAGACGCTGCTTAAAGTTCATGGCCTGGCCCGGCAGAACGGCAACATTCATGCCAGGTACCGAAGCGATCATTTCGGGATTGCCAACAGCATCATTGATTCGCACCATGGGTGGTCCCGCCCAGCTCAAAATCAACGGACATTTGAATCTGGGACCGAGGCCCGCCTGATAGAAGTTAAAGAATAATCCCAAGACAACTGCATCAAATTTGTTGTCTTTGTTCTTGTAGAGATCGGTAAAGCGTTTGTCCTCCAGCACGTCCACTTGCTTATGGATGAGAAGTGAGAGCGAACCAAAAAAATGTTTGATTATCGTAACCATCGAGGGCTTCTCCTTGGCCAATGTGGTCAATCCATCGCTTATTACTTTCTCCTCGGCTGCGCTCCGGGGTATTACAATATGTTTGATGCTCTTGTGGGTGACCTTTGGCTGTGAGGTTGACACCACTGTCACATTGTGACCCTCCTCCGCCAGTGCCTTCATGATGGACATGTGGACTATCAGATGCGATGGGTTGTGGCTGGCGAACACGCCCAATATATTAGCGCCCTCCACAGCCGGCGATTGGAGCACGAGGAATCCGAGCAACAGGCACGCATATGTGCCGGACAGAAGAGATCTGCCCTGGTGCGCCATGTCAACGTCTGTTCGAAGTACGATTATTTATACAAACTGAAGGCTTGATGCCTCCTGATAAGGGAACTTAAATCGCCAAACGCGTTATCGTTTTCGTTGCGTTCTGTAAATGTTGTACATGCAATGCAACAAATGAGAGTGCTTTAGTCGGCAGTGCCCAACTAGCATATACCCTGCACTAGCTGCATTTGCCGAAACAAGCACTTGTACTTCCCTACATGCAACAGTTTTGTAAAATATTCCTGATTTTTTGTCTGCTGTCGACTTTGATAGATAGCTAGAAAACACCCGAGCTGCCTTCAGTACATTTGTAAACACACACACACACATGCTGCTACAGGGTACAGGGTATTAAAATTTGTTGTCAGCTACCTCTTGAATTTCAAAACAAAAAACTTAACGCTATCACATAAACATAAAGCGAACACGTAATATAAAGAGAAATCCAGCTGGAAACTTATGAAATTGGAACCACTTTAACTTCTTGTTAGTCTAAGCTGTAGGATATATGAGGTGTAGGGCTAAATTCTAGCTTGATTTGAATTAACGAACGTAACATATTAATACATAAGACAAAGTTCTAAATCAATAAAATATCAATTATATAAGCTATAATATTTCAATTTGTACGCATACCGCGCACGGCAATATGCATGTTTTGCATATTTATATATATATATATATAGGTATGTGGGTATATGGTCAGAACAGCAACAATCGAGTTCGCAAATTATAAATGCATAGCGAACAACAGTTTGTATATAAAGAAAACAAACCAAAATCAAGCGCATTCGCGTTCGGTTTGCGCGTTTCGATGGCAACGGAGACACTGAGAACCGGCTCTAGTCGAGAATCGAGATGTGATTCAGAGAATGCTAAAAAAAAGCGCAC